CGCTGGACCTCATTCTACATGATGCACGGGATGGAGCGAGTACAACATGGTGCACAATGTAGTCCAGACTATATGGGATAAGCTACCGAAGTTAGCTGGTTGAAGAGCAATGGAATTTTGTAGTGATGCCTTCATCAGCTGTGATATCCATGTAACTCCTTTAACCCTTTGACTACTTGTGGAACACAGTGTACCACTTCCGTAGTCAAAGACACTACCACAGTACTGGGCCTACGGAGAGTGGAGCACCCCCTCGATTTGTACACATATAAAAACGTTACAATTCTAGCTATAGAAACAAATCGTCACAGGCTAAAGCGAGTTAATTTTAACTCAATAAGGCGAGTGAACCGCAATCAATGGTCAGTGTATGCAGTTTCCAAGAAGGTAATTTTCAATACTCACGTCTTCCTAATACTTGTAATGATAATTTCGATGCTCCCTACATTGTGGTACCAGATGCATCATATACAAATAAGCGATGAAAGGTGGGACATTTTATCAGCCGTACTAGTCGAGGACATGGCGGCGTTCCACGACAATATTGGAGATCCCAACTTTCAAGGCTGACAGCCCGGAGAGGACGTGAAATTAGAAGCCTACTATGACTAGAGATTATGACAGCACGGATTTCGAAGCAATAGAATACATCGAAAACTCGTGAGAGCAGAAAACATGATTAGACGCCCAGCGCTTCTACGGAGTGAGACGTGAATTCTTCCCAAGTGTGGTGGCGACTGGACATCCCCTTTGTTCCACGAACGAGATGAAAAATCGTGTGCTGTTATTGAAAATTGGGGTCAAAATTTATATTTCAAAAATACTCACTTGAGCGGTGATGGTGTAGTGGCAAGAGGGGCCACGCCGCGTACGTTGTCCTGGATCAAAATCCTTTGTCAAATACAGCGCACGTCAGTCAAATTTCTATACGCGACTAGTTGATCCAAGGAGCGATATTTACTACACAAAACTTATTGATGTAAAAAAGTAGTAGTCTAAGAGTTAATCCCTACCAGGAATTAGCGCAAATCTGAAGGAGTCCTGACTAGTTACCTTCAAGGAGATGCTTCTCTATACTGTAGAGCCACCTGTTGAATCTCAGCCCATTATCACGATCCTCCGAGAAAGCTGTTTCTTAGTGCTTACCCTATCATGAAGACCTCATCATGTACCCCTCCCCCACAATACTTGGAGTTGATTCCGCATTTCTGTGGGAGATGATTCCTAATGCGGAAAGCAGATGCTCATGCCACGTCCGGTTGGTTTACACGATTGTACTGTAGAACACTCGCTGGATATGATGTATTCGCACTCATGTGGTATTAGGTTGGAAAGAAAGTCCTGCAACACTTTTTCAAATTTTTGATTTTAATTTTATCTTTTTTGTTTACAACTCCTGACCGGTCTTATATCTACCATGAGTGTCCACCACTTGTCTTCAACGCTCAGAAAATTTCTTGATGCTCCTTTGCCAAAACCCAGCGGAGTGCGGGTCGAGAAAGGAGGCGACCTCACTTTCGAGTTGGAGTTGATCGTCTAATTATTTCGTTATCAAGATGATGATTTGAAGGCAAAAGTCGGGCTTATTAAGGGGGTATTACGGCGATTGGAACTGAGCATAGAGATGCGGAGTATGCACTAAAGGGGCGCGGTTTGCTGCCAAGCATATAAATCGTTCAGAGACAGTTCAAAGACTGGGAAAAAGTGGGAGATATTGGCAAGGAAGAAAAATGTGGTGAGACATGCACCGAAATAGGCGGAGTTTACGAAGAGATTCATAAATCAGTCCGAGAACCGGGAAAAAGCGGATAATGGTTGCGAAGAAGGAGAGGATCAAAAGCTATCGGTGGTGGAGCGGATAGAACCTAGCTTAGAAGTCAAATATTCGTAGTGTATCGGGCCAAATTGAAAATACGCCGCATTATCCCATATCGCCGCAGAACTGTGTTGCGCGCGCAACGCGTGCAACTCGTACAATCATGTTAGCCAACCATATTTAGCATGAGCATCTGCTTTCCGCATTAAGAGTCATCACCAAGAGAAATGCGAAATCAACCCCAAGTATTGTGGGAGAGTCAATGATGCAGTCTCCTTGATAGGGGTAGCACCACGAAACAGCTCGCTCGGAGGAACATAATAATGGAACGGGATTCAGCAGGTTGTTCACAGGATGGTGAGGCATCTTCTTGAAGGTGACTAGTCAAGACTTCTTTGGATTTGCGCTAATTCTTCGGTTAGGATGAAACGTGTTGCATGGATCGCAGCTAATGAATGACATCGTTGTAAACTTCCATTGGTCTTCAGCTGCGGTGGATTATCCCATATGGAATGGACTACATTGTGCACCAGTGCTGTACTCTCTCACGCCCGTGTATCATGTAGAACGAGCTCCAGCGACTATGAGGATGTTCTTGCTGATCGTTTACTGTCGTTCTTAAATGGTGTTTCTCTAGAACATTATCGTTCAAAATCACTACAACGATGATATCTACTGCAGCAGAACCGGTAACTGCGGACCCTTAGGGGAATCCTTGTTATAGATTGGCCCGCATGTATTATAACTTCGTATAGCTTACACTTCTGCTGTGCTATCAAGATGTCGTGGTACCACCTGGTTGTTCTCCCTCAGAAGAAAGCTCAAATCGTCCTCCATGGAGGAGGTAAGAGGTCATTTTTCGCTATAATAACGTTTATAGCTTAGATTTCGTTCTGAAATAAAGTAGGCTATAGTTTCAGGCCATGCTGAATTTGTTCAACGAGACTGGCCATGAAAGCTTTATCCTAACTGTGAGCAGCTGGTTTCATGGGTGCCTTTATACTTTCTAAACGCACTGTAGTAGGACACAGCCTGCAGAGAAAAGGGATGCCCCTCCCTGATCGACGTGCGTCTCAGGGCAAATATATGGCAGTTTTTTGGTCAGCGATTTCCCCCTATCCCCTACCCTATGGTCGCGCCACTTAGCCTTGCCACTAACCGGCTCGAAATTCTTTCAGTGAGAGAACCTCTGTGAAAAATATCCGTGGACTCATACTCTTGCCCTCTCATAGTCAGTCGCAAAAGTACCATGCTAATGCCGGTGATGGGCGCCGGTTGAGCAGTGCGATTTCTTGAAGAGGCGAAGTATCTTTAACAACATGAAGCCTAGGAAGCGGCACAGGCTCACAGGTGATCTACTTAAAAATCCATATGGCATCAGTCAATCAGCTCTATTGGCTTTCAATGGCTGGCTCCGCTTCTCATTCTATGTTGGAATTTGCCGTGGTGAAGGAAATCTGCATTTCCAAAGTTTATTGTGAAGTTCTGTTCGAGTGAGAAGATGTTACAAAAATATCGACTGAAGCTGTTCTGCAGTATCCAGTTCTACACAAACTTTCGGAAGAAGCACAAGATGTCCATGGTATTGTCAAACACACTCCACCTGCAGCTGCATCCATAGGGTGCACCCTTAGGAAGGGCAGAAATCTGAACAAATAGAATTGCAAAATTGCATGTAAACACAACTGACGATGTAAATCTACATCTACAATCCGATTATCCATTTGTCTATAATACAATCGAAGCATCTCACTATACATACAATACGTTAAGTGGTTGTGTGTGTTTGTCTGACTACAAGTTCATAACCTTGCTCCTATTGGCCGAAGAGTGCTCAAACTCGGAATTCACGAACTGTTGGTCAAATGTGACGGAACGGTAACATAGATAGTTGGTGGAAGCAAAGAACTGGGGAGAGGCGGTGAAGCAGTGTCACAAATTCGTTACGCAGGTCGCGCCGAAAGTATAATATGTACAAGTTTGTATTCAAACGTGTAGTGAGAAGTGGGACGGAGCCGCAAGTGATGGGTGATAGCAATCGACACTGAGTTAAGAGCTGATAATAGGCCTGGGATGTGAGCCATATCGAATTCGTTTTGTCGTCCACGTTAGCAGTAGAGTGTTTCAATCTACATGTATTATGTGGAGTTCGATAGGAACATAGAGGTGGTGATGTCCGTTTCTCCAAGGCGAGAAACGGAAGCCTTTGCATTTCGCCTTCCTAGATCTGGACGGAGCGGACCTAAAGTTAGCTGGTATCCATCCCGACCAGGCGTTCAATCGGGAAAAGTGGCGTGAACATACAAGAACAGCTGCCACCAGGCGGAACAAACGCTAAATAAAAAGAAGTAATTAACTGTAATTCAATTCACAAGTCTGAGTAAAAAATATATGTAAAGGCTGTAGTAGTAGTAGATGGTTCTTTTCAAGCGTCAATAAGATTAAGCACTTGGGATCGCAAAGAAAAAACTTTTAGTCGAATGAAAGGAACTTGAAACATGTCTGCGGTAGCATTTAACATATTGTTCTGCATCTGTATGCCTTGGCCTTTGATCGATGTTAGAAATTGCATGTCTTTTTTTCTTCGTGAGTTGCACCTCTCCCAACTTGTTTTTACAAGTACTAGGCTAGGTATTGTTACCGAGTTGTGAAAGTTATAAAACTTGTTCACCTTGCTCCTGTAACAATAATTATTGCTAATTTGATTAAAAGTATATAGGTCGTACTTGGCGAAGTAAAGGGCCTGACCCACATATAAGGAGGACTGCCCTGACAAGGGAGGTCTTTCAGGACATGGAGCGCTTTTTCGAAATGGTTTTCTGCATGTTGTAGGGGCTCATGCGAGGAACACAGAACCATGATCCATTTTTCCTGAACGCCTCCAGGAATGTCAAAACAGTGGTGAAGAAATGGTCCAGAGTTCGATCCCCGGTGATGACTAATTTTTGCAATATAGTTTGGCGCCCCCAGATTGCCGCCAAATGGCCATCGAGAATAGATGTCATTGTCGTGTTTTGCGGCAATTTGGAGGCGCCAACATAAATTGCAAAAATTTGTCATCACGGAGGATCGAACTTTGGACCATTTCTTCCCGCTGTTTTGACATTCCTGGGGCGTTCAGGAAAAATGGACCATGGTTCTGTGTTCCTCACATGAGCCTCTACAACATCCAAGAAACCGTTACAGAAAAAACACTCCATTTCCTGCAAGACCCCCTTGTGAGCACCGGCGAGCTTGTGAATTAATTGGCATAGAATATGTTTTTGGAGTAGTTTACCCTTCTGGGAGTGCGATAAGACAATTGGGTGGGACTAATCCCACTATCTCGACGAACGATCCAGCTCAACTATGTCCTCAGTAAATGAACACGTTTCAATCCTAGCTTTTTCAACAAAACGAGAAATATTGTATCGCTAAACTGTTTCTATTTCTGAATAATGGTGAATATCTATCAAATATAGCGTTAGAGCTCACTTGTGATAACCCTGCTTTTATTTTATTCCTACATAACAACAAGAAGGCGTATTCAACCGTCAAATCATCCGGATTCAAACAATTCCAGATTTTTGTAGAGTTGGCAGATGTTTTCTGGGGGGTTCTGGAAAAAATTGGACTACCTACTCGTCGGCATCTCTCATCGGATGCATGCCCTACCAAAACGTTAGAGGAGTTTTCATGGCCCATGCCTGCCCCGCACAGTATGGCTCATGCGCTTTCAATCCCGCCTGATCCGCCATTGACCCGCCCTCCCCATGTGATTTTCCTGCTAATAGATACAAAGTTATGGGGGACACTTACAAACTTGTGGCGGGGAGACCGACAAACAAACGGCGGTTCACATATAGTATGATGATGTGCCTTTGAGGAAATGATACGTTGTAGTACCTAATACTTAGCAGTACTTAGCTGCAATCTGAAGCATTGGCACTGCGAGTATGAAATACTTTTCCTGGTGAGAAGCTGATTCCTCCTTCTTACCTGAGCAGACTTGGGCTTGAAATTTTGTAGAGCACTTCGCATTTTGTCCTCAAATTTCGCTTGTGGTGTCGAACTAAATAAGCATGTAATCTCATAGAAATCATAAAGAATAGTCACGCAAACGAACCCATGAGCTGTCATTTTTACAATATCATGACCTTTATCAATGATGTGGTCCCATAATTCCTTATGAGCGGCCTCTCCTATGTGGACGTCGTATTGCTGAAGACATTAATTTGCTTTTGAAGAAGGGCGTAAGAATTTCATAATGGAAGTGGATATCGTGAAAATTAAAATGATAACATTAAGAATTAATCAGTATTTTTAATATGTGCTAGAGAATCATAATGAAAAATGCTCCTTCTAAGAATTGCTGTGGTATATGTCACCTTTGTGCAAATGGAAGTAGAATGCGTGCCGCATCAACAAAGGGATTGATCAACGGCAAATGCTTTATCCTTTATCCTTTATGTCACCTTTGTGTCCTCTACATAGACGCGTCTGATACTAGTGAACCTTTCCTGATGATAGGTAATGATAAGTGAAGGTCATGCTGGCGGTATTCGAGCTGGATGTGAGTTAGCAATGAACGCTCGACAGGTCAACCTGGCTATCGAAAGAGGGTGCGCATAGGGTGGGCTAAACTGGTGGCTATGAAGTTGCGCGTCTCTGAAAACGCGTGAGCCAGAAAGAATCAAACAAGCTTTAGCGAATATTTCGCGACTTATTTCAGGAAGCGAAGCCAGATTAGCCCTGAAATGTTCTGTTGCATTAATAGGGACCATAGGCGTATAGGTAAAGAGCGCACCGAGGCAGGCAAGCGTGGACTCTCTCCGCGTGTTGTTCGACTGCATACTGCGCGAAGGAGTAGTCCGGAGCGCCTAGGAAGGCTCCGCTACGCTGCTCATTCACAAAGAAAACACCGCAGTAAGTATACGATCTAAACAACTTCCGCCCAATCACAGCTGACTCAACGTTGCCAGGAGCACTACACCCCACTGTGGTTTTGTGTGAATTGTTCTAAAAATTCGGTGTTGTTCTCACCAGTAGCCGCTTTGCTCACTGCCTTCTCGAACTTGGACGAACCATTTCTTCAGGGTCAGAAAAATGCACATAATTTCTAACTTTTTTGACCTTGGAAACTAATTTCAGAATTTCACTGTAACGCGATGAAACGGGATTTTTGTGCGCAGGGTCGCAAACATGGTTCTGGCTCCAAATGAAACAGAAAACTGTGCCCTCATACAAAACCCTATCTATAACGACTATTTTCGCAGGGTGTTGGATATAAATAAAAGCGTGGCGCTTTTTGGGGGAAATGTCGAACACTTTCTTCTTATGGATATAATCGGTCAGCTTACATAACTTGGGTTGCACCATTTCTCGCGAAAATTTCCTAAGATTTTTTCAAGTTGAGCACTGTGGCATGGGAGATAGCGCGCCCAAAGCCTTCCATAACTCTTCCCGTAGAATATTTTCATAAGATATGGAAAGAAATTTCGAGCTAGCGCTTCTACGAGAAGCGAGCTATAGTTCCATTTATTGGGCGTCTGATCTGCTGACCTTTCCTTAAAAAACC